TTCAACTTTCAAAACTATATTACCTTCACTTAAAACAAAATGTATAAAAACTATTCTGATCAGAGAAGAGGAAACCAGGCAAAAATGTGTGATATATGTTGTGCTTTACGTTAATCTTTTATTCAGAGTCTCTGCGAACACTACCTTCACTTCTTTAAAAGAAAAAATATATATATATATTTCACATACCATTTTAGTATCATCATCGTAGTATTAAAAGTTACAGACCGCGGTACCAAGGTAATCTCTTTTTGCATTATATCCCTGGCCTTCTAAGAAACATTTTTATTCAATGAAGTATTTTTTCCCAAACTTTCTGCTTTGAAACATTTCATCGAATCCGGGTAATTTATTGATAGAGTAGCAATTTCAAAGTCTTCAGAGATTTAGCGTTCCGAAAACTGTTGGCGATTTTTTGTTGTTTGTCGTCAGTAACGAGTTGACGAAGCACACGATCGGGTGCTCGGCTTACTAACGATTGCTTTTTTTTTTTTTTTTTTTAATTTTTCTTTTTTGATTTAACTGAATTTACAGGCATAACATAAAAACCTATAAACGTATATTTATTGTGCATTATATGTATGAAAAAAAATCTCTCGACAAGATTCAGACTTCTCCGTCTAAAGCGTCAAAAGTTACCAGCCCCGAGTTTTTTTCCCCGACTATATATATTACATTGACAGATAATGTTATGTTTTGTGTAGTTCTATCAGATACAAATGAAATTATAAATCATTGGGAAAAAAAAGAATACGGTGAATATCTCTTTCTTATGACTTATGGTAATGTTGTGTATTACACTTTGCGCTTTATACAGTGTTCGGTTTGAATGATTAAGCTTTAATTACATTATATAGTACATGATTCTGCAGTGAATTGATATTTTTCTTATATATTTGAACATATACAAACAAAGCATTTAGGATTACGAATAACGTAACGATATATAATGGTTTGCAAACATTTTGCAGACAGTATTTACTTATTTTTTACATAAAATAATATAAATTCACTTTCAAAAGATTTTACCTGTTGATTTCTTTCTCATTGCGTAAAAAAACCCACTTATTTTTCATTGAATTAAAGAGAGAGCCGTATGTTTAATTTATCATCACCTTACATGTACTAAGTTAACTTTGAATGAAGATGAGCGTATTTATAAATTATGTATTGAACATATTTTATTGACAAAAAGTAAAACAAAAACAAAAAATCAGACACAAGTTTTGAAACTTAGATAGTCTTCTCCTTATACAACATTTTGTAAATTGCCAAACTAAAATACATGTAATATATATGTATATGGTATACTATATATAACGGGGTACATATTAGTATTTAAAGGGAATTAAAATCTTCCTTAAATTTGAAAAATCATAATATTAAATGCACTTATATGCATATAACGTATCATTAAATGACAGTAGATTATTCATAAAAGAATGCCTTATTTTTGCATAATTTTTTAGATTTTATTCAAAATTTGCAGGCACAACCTATTCAAATGGACACATTTAAAGGGCAGATACACATACCCAAATCTGATCAATGTTTAGCTTAAACATTAAAAGCTTTAAAAATAGCGTACTAAAGAAGAAGTAAAATACCTCTCTAAAAAAAATTATATTTCAACAATAACTGTTTTGTGTTGAAAACATGGACTTACATGTATAATGAAAGGTTGGCCAAATGTAAGAACTTTTAACGCCTTATTTGCATATTTTGAACCAAAAGCATGAGAAAAACCTTCTGAAAGGGAAATGAAACTTCTGTTTCAACTTACAAAAACAAAGCCTTGTCAAGGAAATTAAGACTTAAAAATGAATTATTTTCAATTTTCGTTTAAAATTGGGACTTTTATATTTCTTTATCTTCATAAGTTGAGATACGCTTTCTATATACCTCGAATTAGAACATGGGTTTTTTTTGTGTGTTTTTTTTTTTTTTTTTTTTTTTGTTTTTTTTTTTTGCTACAGGGTTAAATGCCAGAATCTTTTAGCACACCCAAATAATACTGGAATGTTCTGAAATACCCCTTTATCTAGATACCTTCAGCTCTAAAATCTTAACAGAAACATGAAGTCATTAAACATCGAAACGCATTCAAAGCATTAGATGTATGTAAGAGCTGCAGCAAAAAAAAAAATCCATTATTCAAAATTCTGGTGTAGTTGGCCTTATGGAAGCTGGTGATTATATCATGACCGAAGGAGTCTGACATTGATGCAGTGAGAATTAAACAGTTAGAGAAGGTGCCAATACAAGCATTTCAGCTTTTCGCAAAGGACATTTTCAGTGGTCAATCATATAGAAACTAGCTATTTTTAGGGGGTATTTAATAAAATGTCGAAGTGATTTTCACTTGGAGATTTTTAAAGGTGTGTTCTGAAAGAACAGATAAAACATTAATATTCTTTAATTTAGAAATAAGAAATTATTTATGGTAAATTCCATTTTCCTCTTAATTTTCTCTGTCATTAAAAACACTTTAATATTAAGAAATGTAAAATATTATCACGAAATTGAGGTAAGTCTGGCATACTTTTTGTCGCAAATTACACGTGAGTCGGAGTCTTTTACTATTACATAATAATCATAAAAATATGTCTATAATTATCACTCTTTTTTCAAAATCGTCATCAAGTTTGAGACGTGTTAATTAACCTTTATTCTATTTCAATAGGTTTAAGCTTGATAAAAGGTTGTACATAAAGTTAATTATGATAAAAACTCGGGCTTCCAGTAACAGGTACAAATTAAACTTTTTAAACCCTCTTCACATGGAAGTTATTCCGATCAGAAAAGACAAAATCAGGCAAAATTGTGTGATATATGTTGTGCAAATTTACGTTTATCAATTAGTCACAGTCTCTTGGGCTTCTATGGCCTGCACTCGGTGAAACCTTCACTTTAATAGTTCATATAACGTTTTATCATGATCGTAGGATTAAAAGTAACTTCAGTACGAAGGTCATCTCTTTTTTGCATTATATCTCAAAACACATTGTTACTTTGCCTTCAAAGTAACATTTTTCGTGTAAGTTTAAATCATTAAACTGAAGCTATTTTTCAAATAAAAATTAGAAATTCAAAATTTTAAACAAAATATCAATGCGATTGTGTCTGTGCCCCTTTAAGTACTTATAGCTAAAGATCGCCGGAATCTGATATCAAATTGAACATCAAATGTTACAATGTACTTACCGTATATTAAAATAAGAATAATTATTTTCTATCATTCACTTAAAAATAGAAAGGCTGAAAAGCAGGGCTGCTGAAGGTAAAGAAAATATTTGAGACTCTGTCTGTAGCAAGTGGAATATGAGCAAAGATTGAGGCCGATCAAGCTGTTTTGAACTACATGTGCGTTTATATTCAAAAGGTACTGGACGTAAAAATATCTATTCTAGAAAACATGCGTCACTCACTCACTCTCTCTCTCTCTCTCTCTCTTTGAAATGATATAATTTAGTGTTCAATGATATTTTTTTTTCAGAACAAAGATAACCAGTTTTTCTGGCTTCATAGCATTATAGCATCGTTTCTAAAAGCTGTTCTTAAAATATCGTTTTCGACTGATAAACTCTTTTTATGTATCAGTCGAAAACGATATATTTAAAAACAGATTATAGAAACAAATGAGTTACATTATTGATAACATATAGTGCATAATAGAATACAAAAATAGGAAAAAGGTGACTCGACCCCATATTTAAAAAGAAAAAAAAAACAATGGAAAAGGGGGGGGGGGTCCATACCCCAAGTGCCTGTGCTAACACTGTCTAAATAATATGCTGAAGTTAACAGAAAGTTTTCTTATACATGTATTCTTTTCTCGTATGTAATAGTGCATTCTTTTGTCATACATTTATGTCATATGAAGACTCTCTTTAACCCTCCTTGATATTACTCAAGTTACTCAGTACACTAAATAATTTAATTTTTGAAGATTCATGAGGACATGAACGACGACGCTTCACGCCGGTATATTTCATGAAGTGCTTTAGCGCTTCATGATAAATATGCAGGCTTGAAGGGTTGTACATGTAGTTCATGTACCTCATGAATTCTCAAAAATTAAATTCATATCTTATACTTACATTATTTTTCTGATGACTTGCCACATATTTTTTTCATTCAATGATCATTTTTGAAAAAAAAGTTGCACTATTGTTTGACTTCAATTACATCACAATGGAAATATTCTTACTCATCCCACGGTAGTTCATGACAACATGAACTTTTTTCTAATTTGCAAAGAATCTTAAAGAAAAATCTTTGGAAATGTAAATATATTTTCGTAAATAACTATTTATGTCAGATTCTTCTTTCCATATTCATGTTGTGTCACTGACCGCGTCCGGCAGTTTTTATTAAAGGCCGAAGTCTCCGAAATCAAGGTAGCTGGAGCACGTGCAGCAGGTGCGAGAGGTACAGTCATTAGGTAAGTTGAAATGATAACTGATAAGCAATAACAGATAAATTAATGCTGGATAAAATTTACCTTCTCTGCAAACCATTGGAGGTATTACCGGTCAGTTTTGAACAATGCATATTTGTTTACCTGTTCACTATTCAATTTATTTAAGAGGTTATGTATACTTTTATGGAAAAGTGAAATTGTGAAAACCATTTGGCTGGCAGTTGTTTTTTTTTCAAATGCAAAAAAGTTTTGATTTGCTACATGTTTCTGTGCTTTGGCCATAATGGATTATTTAAAATCTGTTAAAGTCATTATATGGAATTCAAAATGTCTTTTTGCATCTAAGCATGATTCCGATAGATCCTGCTGTCCGTTCAGTGTAACAAAGCCCCTTTGTGTCACCGGTATACATGTATATGTACATGTAATAGAAGAGAATTTAAACGGAGAAAATCTATTGATTCATGATTGCTAAAATATTTAATTTCAGTTTATACAAATCCCGATTTTACATTTAATGATTTAACAACCCATCATGATGCAATTCGCATATATCTCCTTTTTCAGGTTTTCATCAGTAATTCTCACTTTCAAGTATGAGCGCTCTTCAGTTCGTGTTTGTGGTCGTGGTAGCGGCGTTTGCTGCGTTTCTAGGGTACCAGGTCCGTCTGTCCACTATCAAACCAGACATGACCTCAAGAATTATCCGTGACATGTCTCCAGACCAGGAATTGGTTAAACACTCCAAAGAATTTCAGAAAAAGGAAATTAAAAAGGTTTTTCGTCTGATTCTATTCATTGTTTGTTTGTTGTTTCTTTTTGTTTGTTTGTTTTTCACAACAGAAGTTATTTTGAAACATTTGATTTTAATATTGATACTTTTGAAGACTTTAAAACTACATGTAACTTGTTTTATTGGGAGGGGGGGGGAGTCTTGTCTGTTTTATGTTTGGCTCTATTATGTGTATTTGTGTGCAAGATTGAGATACTAGAAATTGTATTATGTTACTGAGCTCTTGGTTTATGGCAGGTTATGGACAATATTTACATGGGGATTGGGTATGCCTTAGGCAATAATGGTGATTGCCCCTGATGGACTTATCATTGTTGACGTCACTGAAAGTAGCCTAGCTGCCAAAGAGATTTTAACGGAGTTTCGAAAAATCACAAAGAAGCCCATAAAAGCAATTATTTACACACATCATCACACCGATCATATTGGTGGTGTAGGGGTACGTTCTCATTTTAGCATTCTTACTTTTTATTTTCCTATTCTGTTCAATAATAAATCCTTTTTGAAAATAATTTTTCAATTATATATCCGTGCGTGCATTCTTTTTACTCTGTATATCCCAGAGACTGAAAAGAAAATTAATAATCTTGATTTTGTGAAATACTCCCGGACACATTCATTTAAAAACAGCTGCATATGTGAGTTATTATTATTATTATATAGTAATAAACGAAATACTAAAAACTACAAATTTTGAGCAGAACAAGGAATAAGCAGAAGTATTACGTACTAAAAAGATGGAGAGAGGTGATTTGAAAAAGAAAAAAATATTTTGAATTGTTTTACCATTTATTCTCCGTTAAACATTCCAGATTCGTAGAAACAATACAAAGCTGTTAAAGCATCTAAAAAGTGTTTTATTTGATTTGATATTAAAAAAAAGGGGGGTTTTAATAAGGTACACTTTTCAAATGTTTGAGCTTACTCATCAAATTAAGCCCCCCCCCCCTTTCCAATATGGATATCATTCTCTGTTTCATTGTTCGTATGTCGTAATTGTTCGAAAGTTAGTTTTAATATTATCTGTGGTATAAGAGCTAATTAGAACGCATTTTAAAATTTTTTATTACATGTATACACTAAACAAGTAAGTGTTGCGAATTCAATCATTCATTTAGATAAGCAAGTTGGCTTATTCCTTTTTGGGTTAATTAAAAAGCATAGTATAAGACTGTCTTCAGCGAAACTTCACTACCGGTCATAACCGACAATAAACATGCATCTAGTCAGTAGCTCCAATGATTTTTTTTTTTTAATTTTAAAAAAAAAAAATTTTACGCACAAACTTTCTTCATGCTACATATACATGTATATAAATATTTGAAATAAAATCAAGGATGAAAAATTTCAGTCAAAACTTGCTATTTTCACAGGGTTTTATTGAGGATCCTTCCAACTTGCCAGACATTTGGGCACACGAACAGTTACCGCAAGAGATTAGGAAGTTCCACACTACCGCTTACGGAGCTAAGTTCAAGCGATCCATGCGTCAATTTGGAACATTTGTCACCAAAGACAAGTTTCAGAATGCTGGTATAGGAATCCAGTTGAATTATGGGAAAGACAAAGATTCCATGGGGCTTATCCTCCCAAATAAACTTTTAAGGGATATGGAAATGGACATTAATATTGCAGGTATCAAATTGACTATAACATGTACATTAATTGTGTAAACGAAAAATAAATCGGCCGGATTCAAGATTTTCTTTTAGATAGGATGTAGGTCACACGAGGGGGGGGGGGGGTCACAAAAAACCCAGGGCTTTGAATTCTAGCGTAAATGCCTAATAGATTTATAATAATATTTCCTGTATAATTTTCTTGCAAATTCGCTTTAAATTGGAAAGCTCCAGGTTTTTTCTCTCTGAAAAGGTAAATAAACATTTTTGTATGAATAATTATAATAGTACAAATAGAAATAAATATAAACCATCTATTTTTAAAATTGTTGGCTTTTTTTTAGTGAACAAAAAAGATCTCACAAATAAATAAATTATGAAATTTTAAAGAATACATACATGTACATGTATATTTCTTTACAGGATTAGACGTTCGTCTTTTGAAAATACCAGGAGAAACAAGTGATCAAATCGGTCTTTGGATCCCATCTTTTCAGGCCTTTATGTGTGCAGATGACGTATACAGGGCATTTCCGAACATATACACCATACGAGGAGCCCCTGCGAGAGATCCAGTGGACTGGTATACTTCAGTGCAAAGAATGCTAGATTTAGAACCAGAATATCTTGTTCCAAGCCATACACAACCAATAATAGGCAAGGAAAATGTCCGAGGAGTCCTGGAAGTATACAGAGATGGCATTCAATTTGTCCACGATCAAGCAGTTAGGTTCATCAACAAGGGTTTTTCACCTGATGATGTTGTCAAGCACGTGGTCATGCCTGAAAAACTTCGTTTGCATCCTCACTTAAGAGAATTTTACGGCACAGTACCTTGGTCAGTAAAAGGGGTGTTTCAACTTTATCTTGGTTGGTTTAGTGGTGATCCAGTGGACCTCTTTCCTCTATCCAATACTGACAAAGCAAGCCGTGTGGTGGCGCTTGCTGGTGGTGTGTCAGAGACCTTGAACTCGGCAATCAAAGCGTGGAATGATAATGATATCCAATGGGCCTTGGAGCTTGCCTCGTACATCCTAGTTGTTGACGATCGAAATGTTGAGGCAAGAAAAATCAAAGTGGATTGTCTCACTCTTCTTGGAATTAGAAACATCAATGCCATTGCCAGTAACTACTACTTGACGAGTGCTCTTGAAACATCAGGAAACGTTCAAATAAAACTGGAAAACAAACATCGTCAGGAGATCATCACAGCACTAGGACCTCGGGAACTGTTTGAACTTGTATCTTCTATGTACAAATACGATGAATGCGGAGGTCGTTCCGATATTGTGGTATTTGTAATCAAGGATTTAAACCAACAATATACAATACAGCTTCGTAACTATGTTGCTATTGTCAGAAGTGACATTACACCTAAGAAATACGACATAAAAGTGATTGCGTCCGAGAAAGCCTTGAAGAAAATGATGATAGAAAAAATTGTAAATGTACAGTTGAAAGACTTGGGTGATTTCAGTCTTGAAGGTAATGAGGAAAAGTTTAGAAGTTTTATGGCCTGTTTTGAATCTGATTGGAATAAGTGAATCTTGAATCTACATGTGGTTACTGTTGAAATATTTTTGTTAGATGCACATCACTTAATTGTTTTTTGTAAAATGTTCTACAGTCTGTATAGTTGTATACTTTTTCAGTTTTCACTTCTGCATTTGTGTGGAATAACTTATAGCATATTACATGTATTAGTTGCATTATAAATGCAGGATATGAGCATTGATTTTTAATAATTTTTTTGTAGCCAAGTGTAATAAATGTCCAGCAATATACACATGTGGGGTGGCAAAGTGCAGATCAGCTAGTTAATGCTCGGTTTTTAGCCGGCAACAATATGTACCGATGGACGACAATACGTGCCTTGAGGGTATGTACATATTGTCGACGACGACAATATGTACAAAACAATAATATGTACCCTCACAGGGACCATGATCTGAACAATTAACAATCTACACTACCTCGGGAAGCTTCCACTTAAGTTTCAGCTTTTCTGGTTCAACGGTACTTGAAAAGAAGGTTGTTAAAGATTTTTCCTATATATTTCTTCGTAAAACACTGTCTCCCTACTACGGCACCTACCTTTCCCCAGGGGATCATGGTCTGAATAATTTACAATCTATACTACCCCAGGAAGCTTCAACCTAAATTAAACCTTTTTTGGTCTAGTGGTTCTTGAGAAAATGATTTTTAAACATTTTTCATATACATTTCAAGGTAAACTTTAATTTCTCTTGTGGCCCCACCCTACCTCAAGGGACATGATTTAAATAATTTAGAATCTACCCTACCTCAAGAAGCTTCGAGATAAGTTTCAACTTTTCTGGCTCAGTGGTTCTTGAGAAGAAGATATTTAAAGATTTTTTACCTTTATGTTTTAAGGTTAAATTTTGATTCCCTATTGTGGCCCCACCCTACCCCTGGTGGCCATGATTTGAACAATTTAGAATCTTCATTACATCAGAAAGCCTTCAGATAAGGTTCATCTTTTCTGTCTCAGTGGTTCTTGAGAAGAATATTTTTAAAGATTTTTTTCTTTACATATCAATGTAAAACTTTAAATTTATTCCGTATTGTGGCCCCACCCAATACCCGGGGGCCATGTTTTGAACAATTTAGAATCCACACTACATCAGGATGCTTTCACATAAGTTTCAGCTTTTCTGACACAGTGGTTCTTGAGAAGAAGAATATTAAAGATTTTTCCTATATATTTCAATGTAAAACCTTGATTATCTATTGTGGCCCCACCTTATCGCTGAGGGCCATGTTTTGAACAATTTAGAATCTACAGTACCTCAGAAAGCTTTCACATAAGTTTCAGCTTTTCTGGCCCCGCAGTGGTTCTTGATAAGATTTTTTGGACTCCACCCTATTTTTGCCTTTTCTTGATTTAGAATCCCCATTACCCAGGAATGCTTTGTACCAACTTTGGTTAAAATTGGCCCATTGTTTCTCGAGAAGAAGTTGCCGCTCTTTTATTCACTTTCAATATTTAAAAAAATCTTTGAAAATCTTTTTTGCAAGTTGTGTGCTTTCTAAAGTTCTAATGTTGTAAGAGTCCTATTTGTCCAGTAAAGTGGATAAATCTGTGAATACGGCAGACACAGCGACTGTTAAATTCTTATGGTATTCTCTCTGCCAAGAACTATAACTCCGGTAGGAAAACATTAGAGTGGATACGACTATAACTTCTCATTTAGTTTTTTTGGTTTTATGATGTGATCAATCAATTTGCTCACGTGGTAATTTGCATAAACGCCAAAGGCGTTTATGCGTAAAATTATCACGCGAGCAAATTGATTGATCATCATCATAAAACCAAAAAACCAGACAGTTATTCTTTATATTTACATTTTTTCCTGATCCTTGATTCAATTAAAAAAAAATCAATAATAAGAAATCTCAGCATCCCCACCAGGTGTATTACTAAGCAACACGCAGCGAAAGAGCAACACGCAGCGAAAGAGCATGCAGTTTTGTCACGTGCTGAGCAAATCGATTTATTGGGTTATAAAGCCATTACCTTATTTGTAGTTTTATCTCAGAGAAAGACATTGGAAAATGTAAATATTTGAGTGTCTAGACAAATCAGATGCGCTTTATAGAGGTATCACAATATCATTAATCATTATAATAATTATAAATAAGGATGACTGTATTTTCCGTGTACCTGGTGCAATATTGTGTACGCACCTACATTCTAAATGTGCACGTAATTATAATTAGCTAGGCTACATGTACAGGTAATGGGGGCAGCATCTAAATCATAATTTATATATAATATGATAACTATTAAAGCAAAAAGACTATTCTCTGAAAAAGTACCTCCCGCTTACTAAGCGCGTACAAATAATAAGAAAAACCGACCTGTGGTCTCTCGGTCAATTGTACGGTAAATAAATACTTTCAGGTGCAGATCCACAATTTTCAGATTACGGAGAGCAATATTTATTGTGTTTAATATTTAATATTTTAAAAATGAATCAAAGAACACCTAAGCTCATGTTTAGGGTACAACGCATCGAACCGGTTATCTCAAGACTGATAGTTCAATACATTTGTAGTTTAGGAAATATAATATTATTTATACATAAGGATGGCTGAAATTAATTCTACGTTTTACATCACCTAAATATTTCAAAATCTACGAGGGGGGGGGGAGAAAAAAATAAACAAACAAAAATGGCATTTTAAATGTTATTATTAAATATTAATAATAATATGCAAGTTATCCAAAAAAAAAATGTTATGAAAATCTCGGTCAGAATTGTTTGGATTTGTTCAAAGTACGAACTTCGAACTACATATAACTTGTACAGGTATAATATATATGACTCTTTTTTTCTAACGGGAACTCTGTTTCCCTGGGAGGGGATTAATTATGAACATTTTGCTAAGTAAATTTCAGTAATTCTTAATATCATTGGGGTCCAGAGTGAGACCCTCGCGCTACCTGCTATCAACATATTTTACCTGTCAACTACAGTTCCCTCTTTAATAGTTACGTAAATTTTCATAACAAAAAACATATATATATATATATATATATATATATATATATATATATATATATATATATATATTAGTTAAAGAGGCATCTTATTGAATATTTATTTATTTTTTACTTGCTTCAGATTAATGGTGCTGCGTTTAAAAAATGATATTTAAAAAAAAAAATACAAATTTCAAAAGTGTGAAATTCATATTTTATCAAAAATTGATTGAAATAATCAATACTTTGAAATAATTATTGGGAAAATCCTGTTTCCCATTAGTTTGGTACACGAACCCGCAACTCTGGGAACACTTCATTTTTACAAAATAGGCTAGAAAGGTTCTAGTGAATATATGTGTATATACTGAGGTCAGATTAATCCAAATGTATGTACATTGTATTCACAAATATAACGAACGGAGTTAGTGTCTGAAGGAGTGTTAGTGTATAAGTAAAACTAAAAATGTAACGTTACATGTGGACTAAATTGAGAGTTTAATACTAATCAAATAAATAAAATAAATAAAATGTACAAAAGCAAATTTAAAAAAAAATCAAACTTTGGGGGGGGGGGCTGGATCATGAAACTAGCTTACACATCACACTGGGCTTTGCGGTTGGTACATGTATATACAAAGTATTTACACCGATAACGTTCGAATAGTATTGTGTATTTCGATTTTTATAAATTTACTCATTCATAATTTATTATATTAAAATATCATTGTATACATTTAGCATTGTAAAAAAAAAAATGCATGTGTCCACGGGCATTTTAAACAGTCTTCCTATGTTGGACAAGGGAGAGGGAATCACATCTGAACATCGAAAAAAAAAGTAATTTTTCAGTTTGGGACATATTTGACTTCAAACTAATATCAATGCATCAAAACACAGTTTGTACAATGTTTCCCCCCACTTACCTCACACAACAAAATAATCTGAAAAAAATTACTGCAAGATTAGAAGTAAGCAAGTCAGCAAATCTAATACAAGATTTCATATGACTAAAGACACCCCAGCACGTTTTGGTTTCTCTCTCCCCCCCCCCCCCCCCCACTTTCCTTTCCATCATCCCCTTCATCCACATTTGCTTCCTTTGGTCTTCCCTCTTCCTGTTTTCCTTTACTTTCTGGCTTATCCTCCACCCATTTGATGGCAATTGGTAGAGGAGCCTAGTTTTACAGAAGTACATGTACACATATCAGTTGAAACAAGATAAAATATTGTTCAAATAAGTAATAAGTCAGCTGAATACCTTTCCGATCTTCTGCCTCCTCTAACATAAACAGCAACAAGAATACTTTAAAGGGGAAACACAATCGCACTGCGAAACAAAAAAATGAAAAGGAGACTTATTTTGCGTAAAGTGATGAATATATTTTTTTATTTAAAAAAAATAGTATTTTCAGGTATTTTTTTTTCTTTGTTGCCTCGCTTTTTTTTTTTTTTTTTTTTTTTTTTTTTTTTTTTTTTTGCTTTTTTGCACATACTTTCACGTCTGGTCCCACAGACCAGTCGATCCGGAGATAGAAATTTCTCCCTCCGAATCGGACTGGAAAATCCCGTACCACCGATCATCCTCTCGGACCCGGAAAATTTCGTCTCCCTGTCATGTCAAATATATTTGCATTCAAGATTTGAAATCCATGACACAAATTTTTCTTGGAAAATCTTACATGTGTTAAGTTCACATACTTTAATAATTCCAATTTTGGGGCAGTATCGAAAAGGTGCGCGGAGGTTATCTGCTGTTCTGGACTCGAAAGGCTACAAAAGAAAAAAGACTAAACTAATTAGTAAATACGAAACTCCCAACAAAAGGATTTTTTTTATTCAAAATCATGTATATTTAAAAGGATGGTGATTTTATTTTTAGTAAATATTCAAGCAATTCAGTTTATTGCAATACTATGCATAATCGGAAACATTTAATGCCTGTACTATATCTGTACCAAAAAAAAAAATTACACTTACTGGAATGTTTACCTACCTTTTTTATTACTCATTGAAAGTACATGTACTTGACTTATAAAATGAATGTATGTGTCTTACTCAATTTTGATAGCTATCGGCATTTCTTAAGCAAAATTGTTAATCACTAAGTATAATTTATATGCACAATACCAATGCACTAATAATAATTATATATAATTTT